CCTCCTCCCTCCCCCCTCTCCTCCCTCCTCCCCGAGGCGCTGGCGAGCTTGAGCCGAGGCAGTCAACGCTCTCGCTATAGCGCTGGATGCCTCCATTATCCGCTCCCAAACTGCCAGTTCGGCCCCGAAAAAACAACTTCCATCGCCGTAAACGAGCGGCCAATCAATTGCACTTACGTATCCGTGAACCTAATGAAAACATAAAAATTCCTCGGCGCGTCGTCTCGTCTCGTCCCGAGCGCGGAGCCTGGCGAGCGGAGCAACACGTCCCGATGGCTATCACGTGTTTGTTGAATAAGCCGACAGAGGGCGCGGGGCGGGGGGCGGAGGGCTCTCGCTTATTACGGGCCGTGTGCAGGTCGAATTTTATATACACATTTATCGATCCTCGTAAAATTAAAGTCCACTCGCAATCAGCCACGTGCTTGCCAGTGCTGCTTGCGAACACGCGGCATCACCGCGGTGCACGGAGGTGCGCTTCTCTGCCCGGTTGACATGAGCGCATTGAGCGCGACTGCGCGGCACGCACCCCGCCATGTTGTGGCCGCACCCCCTGCCCCCTCCCCCACCTCACCGCCACCACCCTTCTCCGCTCCAACCAATCAGGATCCTCCGGGGAGGGTGGGCGAGCGAGCTCGAGGGGTGGATCCATCCACCCCAAGCGGCGGCGGCGGCGGCGTGGCGGGGAGTGGCGTCATGGACTCCGCGCGCCGGACTTTGTTTCCAGTCAACTGTCCCGCGTCGCTCTGCACCTTCAACTTCGAGGCAGGCAGCATTCAGAAGCATGTAGTTTAGGAGGCGGTTCAATCGTCAGGCTATGAACTTTGGCCTATTTGGCCTCGACGGCATCCTCCGGCCGGCCTCCAGTCGGCCTCCACGTTGGGCAGGTGCGCGTTGGGGCGGCGGGCGGCTGGACCGGGGTGGCTGCGCCTGCGAAGGCCGGCCGCGCGGTCCTGGACAAACATTGACTCTGGCAGACCGCTCCGCACGGGTCCCCTCCCTCAGCCGCCGCCGGCCCTCACGCTCAGGTCCTCGCCCTCCAGGCCCGCACTACCGCTCTGGACTAGATGAACCTTGCTTATGCTTTTCACTTTCAAAAGTATGTCTTAATTAAGCGCACGCCATTGCACATGTCGCCACGAGGAACGAAAACATTAATTTATCCCTTCATAAAAGTGTTCTGAGTTTCCTCCGCTCGTACTCGCTGGTGAACTGGTGGGTGACGACCACTTCCGATTGGGCTGTAAGTTTACAAGTTTCTATAATAGTCGCAACGCGTCATATCAAAATTTCAGTCCCAACCGTCAAATTATTCGCCGAGAATACTCAGGACGCACGTGCTGTGCTGTGGGGTGGGTGGGGAG